ATGGCAAATGGGGTTCAATGTAGCCAAGTGCAAGGTGATGCACATTGGAGCCAAAAATCCTAACTATAAATACACGTTGATGGGGTCTGGACTGCCAGAGACTGACCAAGAGAGAGATCTTGGAGTCGTAGTACATAACTCACTGAAAATGTCGAGACAGTGTGTGACTGCAATAAAAAAGGCCAATGCTATACTGGGGATTATTAGGAAGGGAATTGAAAACAGATCAGCCAATATCATAATGCCCCTATATAAATCAATGTTGCTACCTCATTTGGAATACTGTGTACAGTTCTGGTCACCACATCTTAAAAAGGATATTATAGCTTTGGAAAAAATGCAGAAAAGGGCAACTCGAATGTTAAAAGGGTTGGAACACTTTCTCTATGAGAAAAGGTTGGGGCTCTTTAGCTTGGAGAAACGACGGCTCAGGGGGTGACATGATTGAGGTTTATAAGATTATGCATGGGATAGAGCAGGTAGAGAAAGAGGTACTTTTCTCCCTTTCTCACAATACAAGAACTCGTGGGCACTCCATGAAATTGCTGCCCAGTCGGGTTAGAACAGATAAAAGGAAGTACTTCTTCACCCAAAGAGTGATTAACACGTGGAATTCTCTGCCACAGGAGGTGGCGGCGGCTACAAGCATGGACGGCTTCAAGAGGGAATTAGATAAGCATATGGAGCAGAGGTCCATCGGTGGCTATTAGCCACAAGGTATAGATAGGGACTCCGGGGCAAATGATGCTCTGTATTCTTGGTGCTTGGGGGGGGGAGGGTCAATAGTGGGAGGACTCCTAGTGTCCTGGCCCCACTGCTGGACCTCCTGATGGCACCTGGTATTTTTGGTCACTGTGTGACACAGTGTTGGACTGGATGGGCCATTGGCCTGATCCAACATTGGCTTCTCTTATGTTCTTATGAGCAAGGCTGTTAATGATAGGACATTTTGGAGGTCATTAATTCGTAGGGTGACCTTATGTTGGAAGCAACTGATGGCACCTAACACACATACACACACACATGGTGGACAGAACCATCCTGGGAAGAGGATGAGTGGGCTCTGCTCTCTGTAACATTAAATAAACTATGCAGGCATTAGGGTGTGTTCTGGATGACTCTAGTGAGGTGTGATTCATGTATAGGCATGCATTTAAGAAGCCATAAGCACTTAATGTTCCTATATCAGATAATATCATATCATAAGCACTTAATGTTCCTATATCAGATTTTTATCTTCTGGCAAGAAGTACACATGCAATACTATTAGAGAATCTGCTTCCATTTTACCTTTTTTATTACAACATTCACTAACTTAAAAGAATTTAATACCATACAGTGATTCTATGTAGATAATTAAAAGAGATTAGATACTCAAGTCCATTAAAATGTCTTACCCAAAATGAGCAGGTCACAAACAAGGAGCTCCTCCTAAGAAGAAGCTCTTAATCAATTCAGACTCCCATATTTATAGGTTTTCAAAATCATCTTCCAACAATACCCAACTGTCTCATTTAATAAGGGGACACATTCTTATCGAATGATCTTTATAACTTCAAACACAATACGAAGTCCTCTATGCTCAAAGTCTTCTTGAAATATATAAGTGCTGTGTTATTTAATTCCTACCACTTTTTATCATAAAAAGGAATATTAAAAATACTGAATTCAAGTTTCTCAGACATAGGTTATCTGTTGGCCATCTCTAAATTATTATCTTCACTTCTGTATTCAGTTGGACATCACTGTCATTCTCAGACACACCTGAGCCTCATTATGTGTATTAATAGTCCTATTGCTAATCTACTAGAGGCCATATTACTCTCTTACTCCTTTGTTCCTTGTCCCTCTGCAGGAATGTGATATTCTGCGTCTCTGGACTCCCTGTTTGGCATGTTTCGCTGAGAGACCAGACCAGGCAAGCCCTGATGCTGGCCTGCAGAAGCACCCTCCATGGTTTTTCTGGTCAAGAACAGCAAATGATCCCCTAAATCTTGTTAGCCAAATTGCCTTTATTATTAATAACTGTAGGGAATTATGAATTATTAAATGGCAATAGGCATTAATTATAGGACCATAACCCATGTATACCAGAGTCTGAATTCCCAGTCCCCAGGAATAGACGCTGAGGCTAGATTACTAAAGCAGTGATTTCTTTACTAAAGGATTCTCAGACATACAAATATAAAATCAAGCAAACACACAAACAATACAGAGCTAGGAATTCAGATAGAAAAGTATAGAGATGTTTGCATCAGCAGGAAGTATCGGGGGTGGGGTGATACTTCACCTGTCCAGTGAGGCAAGTTGACTCTGCAGTGAAAAAGGGGTAAAATATGGGAAGTGGCCATGAGTTGACCAGCAACACACATGGAGAGGTCCCAAACTGCTCAAGGAATGGAACCAGCAAGATAGGGTGGGGTTAGGAGAGGTAAAAGGAAGAGAGAGAGTGATGGCTAGATGCTCTCTTTTTATACCTAAAATGTGACCTGAGGCAGATACCTGTAGTCACATGGTCCCCAGGAAATATTAACCAAAAACTTAAACTATGAATGGGGCAGAAAAGGGATTAATGGTCAGGCAATAGCAGGTAATGGCTTGGCTAGGAGTGACGCCTCTTAGGAGAATAGGACAGACAAAGGAGGAAAGGAAGAGAACCAATCAGGTTGCAGGATCGATACTTTGGATTAACAAACAGATGTTTGACAGCTGCATTATCTTGATGGGTGGCAGGAAGACTTGATGACTCGCTGTTGTCATCAGGCACATCCTTTTGTTTTAGGCTGGGGAGGAATGTGGGTTACTTTTGGTGATGTTAATACGTGGAGGTGGGGAGGGAAATGCCTGCATGATGGAGAAGGGAGTTCTTCATGGTGTCTGTGCAGGAACATCTTGTCCTTTTTGCAGAGTGTGGCTTCCCTCTATGATCTGCTGCTGCCTGTATGGAGGACAGGGCTGCTGGTCTGCATTCTGGTGCTGGAGATGCAGGAGCAAGAGGCTTCTTGTAGTTCAGGAGTCCACATCTGGCTTGGTAGGCTGCTTAGGCACAAGGCTCCCCGTGGCCAAAGCACATCCCTTTAATCCAGGATAAAGGTGCTGTTTATGGGCTACAGTGCTGTCCATTGCCCTGACACACTCTTCTCACAGTTCAGCAAAGCAGTCATATTTAAGAGTCTTTAGTAATGCCATCTGAAGTGGCTGTATGGCAACAATCTCTGCCTACATCCAAGACAGATCTAACTCTTTTATAAGGAGGGGTGTGCACTGCCATTCCCTCTTCACTTTAAGCCCTCAGGAAGGACATTTTTGCATGTTGCAATTGAACCAGGAAAAGAAAAACAAAAGCAAGTTACACTTCTTTTTGTATGTTCGATTATTTATATTGTTTGGACATTGGTCTCATAGATGGGAGACTCCCAGGGTAGTTTTTTGTGTGTGCTTCCACTGTAACTTCTCATTTCTACACATTCCATTTCATACATTCCACGTGTATCTCCCTTCCACTTTGTTGTGATAAATGAAGTCGCCTTTAGAATTAAAGAGCATTACGGCCATAACTTGTGATTTTAAAATAGAGAAGCATTGTTTATTTGAGTATGAATTTGGAATATTTGGCTACTCTCTCCATAAATACTTTGTTTACTTCCCTTAGGTATCCTGTTGTTTTTGTTTGGAATGGGGATCAATATTCACAGTGATTTCCTGCTACGCCAGCTAAGAAAACCTGGGGAGCTCACTTACAAAATTCCACAAGGTATGTCTTTTCCTCAATTTCCCAGAAATATATGATTTTTTAATGTCTTACCATGGGAGCCTGCCTTTCAGTTTGAGAAAAGCTAGGATAGGTGAAGAAGTCACCAGTTAGTAATATGAACCCTTTTCTTCAGAAGCATTTAGTAAACAGAATAATGGGTCATGGTGAGAGACTGTTGGTTGATACAAGCACAAAATACAGAACTAGAATGTAATATTCTCTGAAGACTGGTAGATAGGGTAGGATGAGCTCACCCACCCTGCTTCCAACTCACATTTCAGTCAAGGTCTGTAGTCAACGTTCAGGAGACTGGTGTCATTTATTGTTTTCAACTGGGAGAGACAATATTGGAGAACACACTGAAAGATTACAACCATAACACCAAACACCAAGATCAAAGTGAGGCCCTTCCAATACAAGAATTATAGGGGAAACAGCAGTCCGTTCTTGAGGGCTTGTGTGATGCTATACAACATTTAGGAAAGCTGAAACACAATTTGGCCTCTCTTTCATGATTAAGAGAAATGTAAAAAAATTATAGTAAATACGGTTTCATTTATTTATTTCAAGTGTTTTCTGTTATTTCCCCAAATACAAAGTGGAATTACTCAACTCTCACTTTGCATCGGTCTTTAACTGTAAGGTGAGCTGTATACAAACTGAAGAATGCAGGGCATATGAATGAAGGAGGAACTGCCAGTCCAGAGCAAGTAAGGAAATAGTTAGAGAGCATCTAGCTGCCTTAAATACTTTCAGATATCCAGGGCTGGATGGCTTGCATCCCAGGGTGCTAAAAGAAATTGCAGGTGTTATTTCAGAGCCTATGGCTCTAATCTTTGAGATGTCCTGGAGTACTGGTGTTGTGCCGGAAGACTGGAGAAGAGCTAATGTTGTCCCGATCTTCAAGAAGGGAAAAAAGACAGACCCTGGAAATTACAGGCCTGTCAGTTTGACATCAATACCTGGGAATATTCTAGAGCAGATTATTAAACGCTCTGTCTGTGAGCACGTTGAATGGAATGAGTTAATTGGTAGTAGCCAGCATGGGTTTATCAAGAATAAGTCATGCCAGACCAACCTTATCTCCTTTTTTGACAGAGTTACTAAAATGGTTGTCTCTGGCAATGCTGTGGACATAGTGTATCTAGATTTCAGTAAAGCATTTGACAAAGTTTCTCATGATAAGCTGGTTAAGTGTGGGCTGGATGGTGCAACCGTTGGATGGATTCATGGTTGGTTGAAAAATCGTACCCAATGAGTGCTCATAAATGGCTCTGCGTCTACGTGGAGGGAAGTCTCGAGTGGAGTGCTGCAGGGCTCGGTCCTAGGCCTGGTGTTGTTCAATGTTTTTATAAATGACCTGGAGGAAGACATAGAGGGGATGCTTATCAAATTTGCAGATGACCCGAAGCTGGGTGGGATTGCTAATTCTGAAGAATTGACAGCAGCACATGTGAAAGGGATCTGGGTGTTCTGGTTGATCACAAGCTAAACATGAGCCTGCAGTGCGATGTGGCTGTGAAGAAAGCTAGTGCAATCTTAGGATGCATTAACAGAAGCATTGTGTCGAGATCACGGGAGGTGGTAGTTCCGCTCTATTCTGCTATAGTCAGACCTCACCTGGAGTATTGTGTTCAGTTTTGGGCACCACATTTTAGGAAGGATGTTGACAAGCTCAAGCATGTCCAGAAGAGGGCAACCAGGATGGTGAGAGGGTTGGAATCCAAGTCTTATGAGGAAAGGCTGAAAGAGTTGGGTATGTTTAGCCTGGGAAAGAGAAGGCTTAGAGGGGACATGATTGCAGTCTTCAAGTATTTGAAGGGCTGTCATGTAGAAGATGGAGCAGATCTATTCTTTCTGGCTCCGTATTGCAAGACCAGATCTAATGGGTGGAAATTACAAGGGAGTTATTACCTGCTAAATATCAGGAGAAACGTCCTAACTGTAAGAGTGGTTGAGCAGTGGAACAGTCTGCCTTGGGAGGCGGTGGATGTTCCTTTGCTGGAAGTTTTCAAGCAGAGGCTGGACGACCATCTTTCGGGTATGTTGTAGGGCTATCTTTCAGCTATGCTCCTGCAGAGTGCAGGGGGTTGGACTAGATGACCTGCAAGATCCCTTCCAACTCTAACATTCTATGATTCTATGATAAGAAGGAGGAGGAGGAGAATGGATTCATACCCCGCCCTTTACTACCAACCACCAGTAAGACCTTAATATCAGTTTGAGGGAGCTAAAATATAAAAAGATATAACCAATTCAGCCAATTGACTGACACTCTTAAAAATCTTTATCTGGAATTTAAATGTCAGTAAAGAGGTGTCAGGTGAATTTAGGGTTGCTAAACACAAGGCTGTGTGTTGAGCCCCCTGCTCTATACCCTCTACACGCAGGACTGTATCTCCACCCACCCCAGTAACACCATCATCAAGTTTGCTGATAACACCACTGCAAGGCCGGCGGGAGTGCAAGGAAGCCCCGCGAAGGCCCTCCCTGGCCCCAGGCAGGCAGGGGTGGGGAGAGGCAGGGAGGAAGCAACTTACCCTCCCTCTTCTCCTGCCTCCTCCTGGCTGAATGAGGGCCGGAAGCGGGGCGGCCGGAAGCAGGGGGAGGGGCTTCGTCATGTGCCCCACCCCCGTGCCTCACGCGGGGGGAACTGCGATCCCTCGTGATCCCCCCCGAAATGACCTCTGCTCAATAATTTGATCCTCAACACCACCAAGACCAAGGAATTATTAGTGGTTTTAAGTTGCTATGTGAACCAAACGATAGTCACGCACAGGGGGGCTTTTAAGGTGAAACGGTTACAATTTGGAGTTGTAACCGTTTCCAAATAAATGCTGGAAAAATTGTGGAGCAATAGCACATTGTTGGTGGACCTGCCCTCAAATAAAAAGCTACTGGATTCAAATAATAAAATAAATCTCACTAATAACAGATATAGACTTACCTTGTACTCTGGATTCCATTGTCTTAGAGACATGGCACACGTCTGTAAGTTAAAAAAAGCACAGAAACATTAATATCGACCCTACTGATGTTGGCAAAAATAACAATTGTGCAAAAATGGATACAAAAAATATTCCTACACTAACTTGCTGGCAAAAGAAAATTTGGGAATGCTTTATTTATGGGCACACATCATATAACTCTTCAGCCTTGCAGTCAGAAAAATATCAAAAGTGGTTTCAGGCGGTTTGGTTTCCTATGATTAATTATTTAGAAATTAGTGAGACAATCCCAAAAAACCCATTATATAGAAACTTATTGTTCTTCTAATTGTTCTATATTCTAAAAATGTTTTAAATGATTGTGTGTTTTCAAGTGTGTGCATTCGTAGTAGCTATTTTAATCTTCAGAGTGGTGTGTTGAAACTGTTTATGCTTGTTGTTAACTGTTTTCTGACTCTTATTTTTTGTGTGTGACTCTTTCAAGTGCCAAATGTTGTTGTAAAAGTGCTGAGGGAAAATGAATAAAAGCAAAAGTTAAAGATAATAATGGCTGCGGTCACACGGCACAGAAGCCACGGTAGAGATACGGACGTCAGCCGGAGTATTCGGGCGCGATCTCACCGGCACATCTGGGAAGCGTAGCGCTTCCGTGGCACAACAGAGGCTTCCCGGCAAAGACGCGCGGCAAAAAACTAGTACCTCGGAGGTACTAGTATCCGGAAACCGCGGGGCAAGGGCGGGCGCGTGATCGCGTTGCCAGTGGAGTCCCGTGGCATCCGGCGCCCGCCCAAGTCCCGTCGGATATTTTTTCCGTCACCAGAGGTTGTGCAACAGCAGTCCAGCGCGCATGCGCAAGAGTGCAAAAGCGAAAGCTCCGCAACCCCGAAGCTGGAGAAACGCGACCTGTCCAGCAGTCCCCATGAAGCGATCATCGAAATCCCATCACCAAGCGCCCCCACGGCGAGTCACGAGCAGGGAGACCCCCCCGCCACCAGCAGCAACCCCTCCTGCCACCCATGGGAGGGGAAGGGCGGCCAGGGGTCGCGGTCCCACATGGCGCCGCCCAGAGATCTTGGACCTTCTGGACCTGTGGGGAGATAGGGCGATCCAGACCACCCTAAGTCAGAACCACCGCAACATAGAGGTGTTTGAAGAGGTGGCTAGCACAATGCAAGCCCGAGGCCATAACCGGACCGCAGAGGAGTGCCGGTCTAAAACCAAGGACATGCGTCTCACATTTAAGAAGACTGTGACCAAGAATGCCACCTCGGGTGGCCGCAGACACACATGTCCATACTACGAGGAGCTCAACCAAATTCTCAATGCAGAGAGACAGGTATGGACAGCACCGCTGCTGCAGACAGCAGAGCCGCTCCAAGCCCATGCCGCCGCCAGGGCCCCCCCCACCTCCTCACAGCAGCCATCCCACGACCCGGACCCTGACGACTCCCAGGAGACATTGGAAGCACAGCCATCCAGCAGTAGCCAGGCAGGTAGGTGGCACGGCAGCTGCCAACAGGTCCTGGGGCAGAGGCCCCTAGCAGCCCAGGTGCAACACCCAGCTCCCTAGCATCCCAGGTCCAACAAGGGACACAGAGTGGCCAACACGCCACCCCAAAACAGCACCCATCCCACCCACCCGGTCTCACCCAGGGCCACTGCCACCACTCCGTCACACACACCCCGCAGCAAATGGGTGCCATATGTTGCAGCACCACGAGGGGAACCCAATGCCCATGCGGCCACACCCCAGGTAACGGCCACAGCTCACGAAGCTGTCCAGAGCGTGCCACGGGCGGCAGCCACTCAAGGTGTCTGCACAGGGAAGCTGCATAGGGAGACGGCCACCCTAACCGTTCCCAGCAGTACAGCATACATGAGG